AGCGACAGAGGAGGAAGAGGAGGAAGAGGAGGAAAAGGCGGCAGAGGCGGAGGAGGAGGAGGCGGCAGCGGCAAAGGAGAAGCACCGCCGCCGCCGCGACGGCGCCCCGCAACGCCGCCACCACAACGGCAACCGCCAGCACCACCGCGACGGCGACCAGCAGCACCAGCAGCAGCACCACCGCCAAGACGAAGACGAGCACAAGCGACAGCACCGCAACCAGCGGCGGGGCAGCGACGGCGAGCACCAGCAACAGCAGCACCAGCACCAGCACCAGCACCAGCAACACGACTACGACAGCCCTGGCGCCACGACGCGACGGCCCGCCCCTGGCAGACATGACCCCCCTGGGGGTGGACACCGCCAGGGTCTAACCAGGAAGACCCGGTCCACGAAGGGTCTGGGGACCTTTCTGGGGGTTTCCTGGACAAGCGGCGTGGGGCCGCCGTCGCTGCCCGACCCGGGTCCGCCGCCTGGCCTCTGGGACGCTGGTGCGGCGAGGGCCCCCGAGGCGACCACTCAAAAGCCAGGCGCGGCAGCCAGAGCAGCAACCGCGACGCTCGGCGCCAGCACCGGGCGACGCACCCGACGAGGCCGAGGAGGAAGAGGCGAGAGAGCAGCACGAGGAGGCAAAGGAGGCGCAACGCGACCACGAGGCGCCGCAAGGGGCAGGCGCGAACGAGAGGGCGCCGCGCCGGGCGGCCTACGCTCGCCGGGTCCTTCGCCGCGGCCGCCGGCGAGCCACGCGGCGGCTGGCGGCCAGTGCCCTCGAGGCCGCGTGCGCCGAGCACGACGCGCTCGTGGAGCAGGCGGCGGCTTTCGAGCGTCGGCGCGCTTGCCTGGCCGCGAGGTTCGACGCGAGGCGGGCGCAAAGCGAGCTCCGGAAGGCACTCGCCGCAGCCAGGGGCGCGGCGACACGCGACGAGGAGCGGCAGCGACAGCACCAGAGCCCGCCTGCACAGCAGCAGCCGCGTGAGGAGGCACAGGAGGGCGGCAGGAGAAGGCAGGCGAGGGCCGCCGCGACCAGGAGGCCAAGCCAGGACAGCCAGCGCCCCATGAAGGGGATGGGTACTCTCAGCTCCGGCGCCCGCACCGGCGACAGGACGCTGACCGTGAGATGGCGCGGGCGGGTGTCGGCGAGGGCGCGCCGCTCGTGACCAGAGCGCACTTTCGCCACGGGCGCTGCGAGAGCAGGCAGCACCGCAGCGACCAGAGCGACAGCAGCCAGCACCCAACTGCGGCCACAGGCGGAGGAAAACTACGACGGCGCCCGCCACGGCGCCCACCACGACGGCGACCAAGACAGCAACGAGCAGCACCACGACAGCGACCAGCAGCACCAGCAGCACCAGCTGCACCGCCACAGCCACGACGGCGAAAAACAACGGCAGCAGTACCACCGCCACGACAGCCATGCACGCATGACAAGAAGTTGCGAAATCGACCGGGCCAGCTGCTGTGCTACATCCCGCCTTGCTTTACACGGCAGGCCCCGCTCGCAACTACGACCCGCGGCATTACCAGCCCCACCAGCTACACCACGACGGCGACCACACCAGCACCGCGCCAACCGGCACCACGGCGACGACAACGACCAGCACCACAGCACGCAGCCAACGACCAGCGCCACTGCACGCGCACACAGCGACCAGCACCACAGCGGCAGCACACAGCACCACAGCGACCAGCACCATAGCGACCAGCACCAGCGACAAGCACCACAGCACGCACCCAACAACCAGCACAACAACGAAGACAACGACCGCGGCCAGCAGCAGCACCACGAGCAACACAGCGGCGGCGACCAGCAGCCCCAAGAGCAGCAAGCACAGCCAGCAACACCACAACGACCACTGAGGGAAAGACCACGCGACCAGCAACACCACGCCAGCAGCACACAGTACCGAGACCAGCACCACGGCGGCGATATCGACCAGCACCACAGCAACGACCAACACCACAGCGACCAGCGCGACAGCGACCAACACAGCAGCAGCAGCAGCAGCAACAGCAGCAGCAGCAGCGGCGGCAGCAGCAGCAGCAACAGCAGCAGCAGCAGCAGCAGCAGCAGCAGCAGCAGCAGCAGCACACAGCACCACAACGACCAGCACCACAGCGACCAACACCAACGACCAGCAACACAGCACGCACCAAACGACCAGCGCCACAGCACGCAGCCAGCGACCAGCACCACAGTGACGATCAGCACCACCACAGCACCACAGCACGCAGCCAACGACTGCGGACGGCAGCCCCCTGGCAGCAGCAGCAGCAGCAAAAGCAGCAGCAAAAGCAGCAGCAGCCCCGGCAGCCAGCAGGGCCCTCCGCCACCCCAGACGGCCATTCCAGCCGTCTGGCCGCCTGCCCTCCAGCCCCTTCCGAGGGAGGAGGCTGGCGTCAGCTGCAGCCCGTGCCCCCCAGGGGAAGAGCCCCATTCCCACGGTAGGACTCCCCTGGGGCCAGTTCCCCATCGGGGTTCGCGCGGCTCCGCTGCGGTCCCCGGTGGCGCCCCGGCTTGTGCAGCAAGCCCACAGGAGCAACGCGACAACATGCTCGACCACAAAAGGCGGCACGACTCCCAACAGTGGCGCCGCGAGCAGCAGCACAACGACGACGACAAGCAGCAACATCAGCAGCAACACCACCACCACGACAACCATCACCAGCGGCAGCGTCGCCACTGCGACCAGTTGCAGCGGCACCACCACGACGACCAGCAGCAGCAACAGCAGCAGCAGCAGCAGCAGCAGCAGCACTACCACCACCACCACTGCCACCACGACCAGCAGCAGCAGCAGCAGCAGCAGCAGCAGCAGCAGCAGCAGCAGCAGCAGCAGCAGCAGCAGCAGCAGCAGCAGCAGCAGGGCAACCACCACAACGGCCAGCACCACAGCGACCAACACCAACGACCAGCAACACAGTATGCACCAAACGACCAGCGCCACAGCACGCACCCAACGACCAGCACCACAGTGACGACCAGCACCACCACAGCACCACAGCACGCAGACAACGACTGCGGATGGCAGCTCCCTGGCAGCAGCAGCAGCAAAAGCAGCAGAAAAAGCAGCAGCAGTGGCAGCCAGCAGGGCCCCCCGCCGCCCCAGACGGCCATTCCAGCCGTCTGGCCGCCAGCCCTCCAGCCCCTTCCGAGGGAGGGGGCTGGCGTCAGCTGCAGCCTGTGCCCCCCAGGGGAAGAGCCCCATTCCCACGGTAGGACTCCCCTGGGGCCAGTTCCCCATCGGGGTTCGCGCGGCTCCGCTGCGGCCCCCGGTGGCGCCCCGGCTTGTGCAGCAAGCCCACAGGAGCAACGCGACAACATGCTCGACCACAAGAGGCGGTACGACTCCCAACAGGGGCGCCGCGAGCAGCAGCACAACGACGACGACAAGCAGCAACATCAGCAGCAACACCACCACCACGACAACCATCACCAGCGGCAGCGTCGCCACTGCGACCAGCTGCAGCGGCACCACCACGACGACCAGCAGCAGCAGCAGCAGCAGCAGCAGCAGCAGCAGCAGCAGCAGCAGCAGCAGCAGCAGCAGGGCAACCACCACAACGACACCCTGCGACACCGACCAGCAGAAACACCAACGCCACCGCAAACACAGCGACCAGCAGCAGCACCGCGACAGCGACCGACAGCGCCGCCACCAGCACCAGCGCCAGCACAAGCACCGCCACCACCACGACAGGAGCAGTGCGCACTGGCGAGGAGTCCGCGGGAGGCGCTCTACGGCTACCGCGGACAACGGGTCGGCGAAGCCAGCCACCCAGGCCCCCCCGGGCCAGCCGACGAGCCGCCGGGCACGCCGGAACGCAGATCGGGAGAGTCTGCCCCGGTACCAGCGCTCGCGGAGACGCCGCCGCACATGCTGTCGGCGCCGGAAGGGTTTGCCACGCCAGACTCGCGAGCGGGCGCGCGGTCGGCCTCACCACCGCCACCACCACCGCAGCTGAACCACTTCGCCAGCATTTTCGGCGCCTGGCCGGCAGCGCCCCCTGAACCAGAGGGAAGGCGGCGGGACTTCTCGGGCCTCTCCCTGCCGCCAGCAGGGCGCGAGGCGGCCGAGGAGCAGCGACAGCCACCGCAGCAACAGCAGGGGCCAGACCGGCCAGACAGGGAGGAATGCGCCATCTGCCAGACGCCGCTCGAAGGGGACACCGTGACGTGGCCAGCTTGCGGCCATGTCCCCCACCGCTTCCACGCAGCGTGCGCAGCGAGGCATCGGCCGACACGGGCGGGCCTGGCCCACTTGCACCACACAGGTGACGCATCCCGTGCCGAAAGGTCGCCATGCCCCCTTTGCAACAGCCCGTGGGGGGACTCGCCGGGTGGCGTGGCGGCGCTCGCGGGCTTCGTGGGGTCCCTGAACGCTTCTGGAGACTACCCCACCCGAGGGTGCAGGTGCTCACGCTGCCGAGCCGCGGCCGGCCCGCCAAGTGAGGAGGAGGCGGGCCCTTACGCAGGAGGGCCCCTTGAGCAGCCAGGAGGGCCCGCGCCGCACGCCATCGCAGTCTGCCCGCGACATTTCCAAACCCTGCGGTGGCGGCACTCTCGCGGGCCCAGTGGGCTGGCGGGCAGCTGGGAATGCCGCGCCTGCGACGTGGCCCCCCTGGGTAGCGACGTCTCGCCGCCGCAGGGCGCGAGACCGCCGCGCTGCCCCTGCGGACGGCCAGGGCCAATCGAGTGGGTCGCCAGGGCCGCCAGGGCCACAGGAGGGTCGTGGAGATGGCACGGGGCCTGGCTCTGCGAGGGCTGCGCCGCCACGCCGCTTCCGGAGCCAGTGGTCGCCGCCCCTCCGTCGCCGCCCGCGACAACAGCAGACGCAGGAGACCCTCGACTGGCGCGCCCCGAACAGGCGCCCACCGCCGCAGAGCAACGGCAGCCTGGCCGCTTCGCCGGATGGCCTCCCCTGGCGGGCCCACTACGAGAACGAACCAACTCACGCGTGTACGTGCCCTTGCTATTAGCAGCGGCGGGGCTGCTTGACCAGCAGGAGGCGGCGGGATGGAGCACGCACCCGCTCACGCACGACTGGTGGCAGCCGACAGTGGAGGCCTTGCAGCAAGCGGACCCCGTGCCAGCCGAGACCTTCGCCCAAGGGCTGGAGTTCGCAGGGGCCAGCCCAGGGGCGATATATGCCGTGATCGCCGCTGGGGGCGGAGCACGCCCTGGACACGTGCACCTGCCGCCTGTGGTCAGAGCGCTGGCGGACAGCGCTGGCTACATCCACAACCTCGCCCAGGACCTCTTGCTCGAGCTCTTCGGGGGGGTCGTGCTGGCGCGGGGGGTCGACCGGCGCGCAGACGAGCTCCGCGACCCGGCCAGGTGGGCCGCAGCCGCGCCGCGCCCGCCGAGGCCGCCACCAGCGGCGCCAGCAGGACCTCAGCCCAGCGACGACGCCAGCGGAGGGGGCCCAGGAGAAGGCAGAGGCCGAGGAGGCAGAGGAGGAAGAGGCGCCAGAGGAAGCAGAGGGCGAGGCGCTAGAGGGGGCCGAAGAGGAAGAGGCACCAGAGGAGGGGGAGGAGGGGGAGGAGGCAGCTCGAGCAGCAGCACCGCCAGCGAGAGCGAGGAGGACACTGAGGACAGCGCCTCCAGCAACTCTGGCCCCGCGCTGCCCGCGCCGCTGGCCCAGCCCCGCCGAGACGGGGGCGCGGGACGAGCTGCTCCTCCCCGGGCGCCCCTGGGGCGCCGCCCCGCCCACGCCCGCGCTCGCTTGACGGCGGCAGAGCGGGAAGCGCTGGACGCGACAGACGCAGCATCTATGCTCCGGGCCCGCGTGCCAACCCTCCAACGGGCGCCAGCGTTCGCGCGGGGGCCGTTCCGCAACGCCTTGCGCAAAGCTTTGGAGTTGATCCGAGAGGGCGAAGCAGACGAGACAGGAGCAGCGAGAGGGTGGAAGCTGTTCCTCCTGCTCCCACGACTGCTCTTGAGGAGAGAGGCGGGGCAGCAAAGGATCCCCAAGGAGCAACTCCTGGAGAGGTTCACCCGCTTCGAGGCTGGAGACTGGGCGCAGCTTCTGACAGAAGCACAGCCGGGCCCGCCGCGCAGGCCGCCCGAGCGAGACGCGAACGGGCAGAGCAGGGCGCCCGAGGCACGACGGGGCCGGGCGCCAGACGAAGACGAGGAGCTCCGCAGCCGCTGCGAGAGGGCCCGCGAGCTGATCCGCCTCGGCGAGGTCTCGGCGGCGCGGCAAGCGCTGACAGCGAGCGCGGTGGCACCAGGCACACAGGCCACTCTGGACGAACTCCGGGACCCGGCACGCCGCCTGCAGCAGCCGAGAGAGCAGCTCAGCGAGCGAGCCGCCCGCGCGCCGCCGCAATGCCTCGCCAGCCTGGAACCAGACCGCCTCCTCACGAACGTGCGCAGGAGTCGCCGGGGCGCTGCGCCGGGCCCCTCAGGGATGACGGGAGAACACTTGCAGACCCTGCTGGACGACGAGCACTGCTGCGACCTCCTGCACCACGCTGCCACGCTCCTTGCGAGGGCGGAAATCCCTGGCCCCGTGGCAGAGGCCCTCCGGCTCGGCCGCCTCACGGCGCTGCGCAAGAGCAACGGGAGGGTGCGAGGCATCGTGACTGGCGACGTCTTCAGGCGGCTGGTAGCCCGCACGCTGGCGCAGCAAGTGGGCGAAGAGGTCGAGCAGGCGACTGCCCCCTTCCAGTTCGCACTCTCGACCCGAGCAGGCACGGAATGCGTGGCGCACCTCGTGCAGACTCTCACCCAGGGTGACCCGGCTGCCACGGTGGTTTCCATAGACGGAATCGGGGCATTCGACCTCATGTCCAGAAACTCGATGCTCGAAGGATTAGCAAACCTGGGCAGGGGTAGCGCACTGCTTCCCTTCTGCCGCCTCTTCTACGGGGAAAGATCGCAGTACTGGTGGCACGACGACGCGGGACAAGGGCACGCGATCGACCAGGCGGAAGGAGGAGAGCAAGGAGACCCGCTCATGCCAGCCCTGTTTGCCTTGGGACAACACCCCGCCCTGCAACAGGTCCAAGGCATACTCCGGCCCGGGGAGCGCATCTTCGCCTTCCTTGACGACGTGTACTTGGTCACCACGCCAGACAGAGCGAGGTTCCTCTTCAACGCCGTGCGGGACGCCCTCCAAGCGCACTGCGGCATCAGCGTGAACATGGGGAAGACGCGAGTCTGGAACAGGGGAGGGCAGGAGCCACTTGGCATCCGAGAGCTGGGCTCAGCAGCAGACCGGGTGTGGGTAGGAGGAGCAGACACCCCGCCGGAAGCCCAGGGCTTGGTCGTTCTGGGGGCCCCGATAGGCCACGGAGCTTTCGTCGCCCAACACCTGGAGGCCATCCTGGAAGAACACCGCCGCTTGCTCGCGAGGATACCACACGTCGGGGACCTGCAATCCTCGTGGCTCCTGCTCAGCATGTGCGCCAACCCCCGGGCCAACTTCTTCCTGAGGGCGCTGGCTCCCGAGGACACGGCCGCCTTCGCCGCGGCGCACGACGACAACCTGGCCAACGCGCTCGCCGACTTGCTGGAACTCCCGCAAGAAGCTGTCGCAGAAGGCACGTCAGCGCGCCAACGCTGCCAACTGCCGCTTTGCATGGGGGGGCTCGGCCTGCGAAGCGCGTCCAGGACGGCGCCGGCGGCCTGGTGGGCTTCCTGGGCAGACTGCGCGCAGATGCTCCGCGAACGCTGCCCCGAGCTCACAAACCAGATCTGCGCTGCGCTGAGCGAGCTGGACCGGGGCCCGCTGCCGGCCGCTCCCGGGTGCTTGCAACAAGCCAGCAGGGCAAAGGAGCACCTATCGGCGCACGGCTTCGCCGCGCCCAACTGGCACGACCTTGCGCAGGGCGCCCGGCCACCGCCGACGCACGAACGGGAGCACGGCGAATGGGCGCACGGCTGGCAGTTCTGGGCCGCCAGAGTCTTGGAGAACACAGCCCGACAGCAGCTCCTCAACGCCTCCACGCCACCGGACCGCGCCCTCCTCCGGTCACAGAGCGGGCCGTGCGCGGGACGAGCCTTCACCGCGCTGCCCACGACGGGGGACTTCCACATCCCGCCGGCAGAATTCAGAGTCCTGCTCCTCAGGCGCTTGCGATTTGATTTACCCTTCGCAGCGAGCGCTTGCAGATGCAGAGGCAGACTGGACGCCAGAGGTGACCACAGAGCGGCGTGCCCAAGGGCAGGGGTACTCAAGAAGAGATCCATCCCATTGGAGAAAGCGGCTGCACGTATCTGCCGCGAGGCCGGGGGCCGAGTCGCAGAGAATCAGCTCCTGCGAGACCTTAACGTGGACGGCGTCGACCCCCGCGACGGGCGCAAGATCGAGGTCATCGCGAACGGCCTGCCGCTCTGGGGAGGAGCGCAGCTGGCGATTGACGCGACCCTGGTGTCGCCAGTCCGCACCGACGGCACCGCGCAGCCCAGAGCCGCGGACGAGGACGGAGTCCAGCTCGCGGTCGCGCGGGGCCGGAAGGAAGCGACCTACCCCGAGCTCATCGGGTCAAGGAGATGCCGATTGGTTGTGCTGGGCTTGGAAGTCGGCGGCAGGTGGTCCGAGGAGGCCCTGACATTCGTCCGGCTGCTCGCCAGGACCAGAGCCCGCAGCGCGCCGCAGCGACTCCGAGCGTCGGCGCGGGCGGCGTACCTACACCGCTGGACAGGCTTGGCTGCGGTCGCGGCCCAGAGGGCGTTCGCGGCCACGCTGCTGGAGTTGCCGCCGCACACCCTGGCCGTCGACGGGGACGAGCCGCACCTCGCCGACCTCCTGGCGGACGCCCGCTACACGGAGACGCCGGCCCCTAGCCGACTGCCGCCGTGTTTCTGATGCGGTGGAACGGGCGCGGCCCCACCCCGGGGGCCCGCCCGCCGGCGCAGCAGGAAGACCAGCAGAACCACTACAACCACTACCACAACTGCGACAACAAGCAGCGGCAGCAGCTGCAGCATAACCGCCACCACCGCGCCTACGACCAGCAGCGCCACCACCGCCAGCAAGGCGACCAGCACCACCACCACCACGACGGCGACCAGGGGCAGCACGGCGACCAGCAGCACCACGACAACAACTACCACTACAGCGACAACAAGCAGCAGCAGCAGCAGCAGCAGCAGCAGCACCACCACCACCACCACAACCACTACGACTACCACCAGCAGCGCCACCACAACTTGCACGGCGACCAGCACCACCACCACGACGGCGACCAGGGGCAGCACGGCGACCAACAGAAACACGACAACTACTACCACAACTGCGACAACAAGCAACAGCAGCAGCAGCACCACCACCGCCACCACCACCACGACGGCGACAAGGGGCAGCACGGCGACCAGCAGAACCACGACAACTACTACCACAACTGCGACAACACGCAGCAGCAGCAGCGGCAGCAGCAGAACCACCACCACAACTACCACGACTACGACCAGCAACGCCACACCCGCCAGCACGGCGACCAGCACCACCATCACCACCACCACCACCACCACCACCACGGCGACCAGGAGCAGCACGGCGACCAGCAGCACCACGACAACCAATACAACTACAGCGACAACAACAAGCAGCAGCAGCAGCACCACCACCACCACCACCACAACCACTACGACTACGACCAGCAACGCCCCCACCACCAGCACGGCGACCAGCACCACCACCACCACGACGCCGACCAGGGGCAGCACGGCGACCAGCAGCACCACGACGGCCACTACAACCACAGCGACAACAACAAGCAGGACCACCAGCAGCAGCAACACCACCACCACCACCACAACCATCACGACTACGACCAGCAACGCCACCACCACCAGCACGGCGACCAGCACCACCACCACCACCACGACGGCGACCAGGGGCAGCACGGCGACCAGCAGAACCACGACAACTACCACCACAACTGCAACAACAAGCAGCAGCAGCGGCAGCAGCAGAGCCACCACCACCACCACTACGACTACGACCAGCAGCGCCACCACCACCAGCACGGCGACCAGCACCACCACCACCACCAAGACGGCGACCAGGGGCAGCACAACTGCGACAAGCAGCAGCAGCCGCAGCACCACCACCACCACGCCTACAAACAGCAGAGCCACCACCACCAGCACGGCGACCAGCACCACCACCACCACGATGGCGACCAGGAGCAGCAGAGCGACCAGCAGAACCACGACAAGTACTACCACAACTGCGACAACAAGCAGCAGCAGCGGCAACAGCAGAACCACCACCGCAACCACTACGACTACGACCAGCAGCGCAGCGACAACAAGCAGCAGCAGCAGCAGCAGCAGCCACCACCACCACCACCACCACCACAACCACCACAACCACTACGACTACGACCAGCAGCGCCACCACCACCAGCACGGCGACCAGCACCACCACCACGACGGCGACCAGGAGCAGCACGGCGACCAGCAGAACCACGACAACTACTACCACAACTGCGACAACAAACAGCAGCAGCAGCAGCAGCAGCAGCAGCAGCAGCAGCAGCAGCGCAGCAGCAGCACCACCACCCACCACCACCACCACCACCACCACCACCACACCACTACGACTACGACCAGCAGCGCCACACTCACCAGCTCGGCGACCAGCAGCAGCAGCAGCACCACCACCACCACCACCACCACTACGGCGACCAGGAGCAGCACGGCGACCAGCAGCACCACGACAACCACTACAACTACGGCGACAACAGCAAGCAGCAGCAGCAGCAGCAGCACCACCACCACCACCACCACCACCACCACTACGACTACGACCAGCAGCGCCACACTCACCAGCTCGGCGACCAGCAGCAGCAGCACACCACCACCACCACCACTACGGCGACCAGGAGCAGCACGGCGACCAGCAGCACCACGACAACCACTACAACTACAGCGACAACAGCAAGCAGCAGCAGCAGCAGCCACAGCAGCAGCAGCAGCAGCACCACCACCACCACCACAACCACTACGACTACGATCAGCAAAGCCCCCACCACCAGTACGGCGACCAGCACCACCACCACCACGACGGCGACCAGGGCAGCACGGCGCCCAGCAGCACCACGACAACCACTACAAAACAGCGCCACAACAAGCGCAGCAGCCCCCAGACCACCCCCACTACGACTAGACAGCAACGCTGCCCCCCCAGCACGGCGACCAGAGCCACCCCCACACCCCCGCCCATGACGGCGACCAGGGGCAGCACGGCGACCAGCAGAACCACGACAACCACTACCACTACGGCGACAACAAGCGGCAGCACCCGCATCAGCAGCAGCAGCAGCAGCAGCAACAGCAGCATAACCACCACCACCACCACCACCACTACGACTACAACCGGCAGCGCCACCACCATCAGCACGGATACCACTACCACCACCACCACGACGGCGACCAGGGGCAGCACAGCGACCAGCAGCACCACGACAACCACTACCACAACAGCGACAACAAGCAGCAGCAGCAGCAGCAGCAGCAGCAGCAGCAGCAGCAGCAGCAGCAGCAGCAGCACCACCACCACAACCACTGCGACTACGACCAGCAGCGCCACACCCACCAGCACGGCGACCAGCAGCAGCAGCACCACCACCACCACCACGGCGACCAGGAGCAGCACGGCGGGGCCCGCGCGGACGCCGGCGCGGCAGGGGGCGACGGCGGCCGGCGGCGGCTGGCGGCGGCGGGCCGGCGGCAGCGGCTGGGCCCGCGACGGAGGCCGCGGAGGCCGAGGAGGCGGAGGAGGAGGCGGGCGCTGGGGCGAGGAGGCGGAGGGCGGCAGCGCGGGGGCCCCGCCGCCCTTTGGCTAGGAGGGGCTCGGGGAGGCACGCCAGAGCGGGCCCCGAGTGAGGGTGGGGCTAGAACGCCCGCGACTCTCGGGGCGGCCGGGGGGGCCCCGCAGCGCAGCCGCGCCAGGAGCGAGACGAGGCGCCGCGGCCGGCGGAGCCCCGCTGCGAGGGGGCGGAGGCGGAGGCGGCGGGCTGCGGCTGGCTGGGGCCCGCCAGGGGCCGGCCGAGGCGCGAGGGGGGCGGCGCGCTGGCCGGCGGAGGCGGGGGGCGCCGAGGTGGGGCCGGGCTCGGCCGCCCGCCGGCCGGCGGGGCGGACGGGGGCGGCGGCGGCGGCGGGGGGCGGCGGGCCTGAGGCCTAGGCCGACGGCGGCGGGCGGCGGGCCACTGCAGGGGCCCCGCGCGGCGGCCTCGGCTTGGCGTGAGCCCGCGCAAGGAGGAGAGAGAAAACAAAAAATGCGACGATGGAGAGGCCCACTATGCCCCCGTCTCCCCTCCAGCGCTTCCCTCGGCTCCAACGATCTTGCGCGATCGCTCGCCCTGGTAGTAGAAGCGCCCTGGTCCAGCGGGCCAGCGAGGCGCTGGAGGGCGCGGAGGGTGACCGTTGCGGGTCCGCCCGAGGCTATCTCGCACGGGACGGCGCGCGGGGTTCTCGGGGACGCCGACTCAAGGATGTCACCGATGTGGCTGGGGCTCCTGTCGCGCGCCGACGTGGGCCTGGCCCAGGGCGGAGAAGGGGCATCATATTTCTGCCGGTTACACGGGCGCGTGGAGGCCCTCATAAAGACAAGCTCCAGGCTTGTCCTTGCGGCTCGCCACCACTTTAACCTCGATGGGGGGAACGCCACGGTGGCCTGGGAGGAAACTTCCATCGGGAGTCCGCCCCCCTGCAGCACACCTTCCAAGCCAGGGGCTGTCTTGCCCCCCTCCTGCTTGCAGGTCCAAATCTGCGCGGTTGGCGCTCCCTCCCAGGCCCTGTTGTCTCGTGTTTTGTTTAGGCTTGCTTAAACAGGGGTATTCACCCACAGCAGTGCAACGGTTGCTCCCCTGTCTTCCTCCTCTTCCTTCCCTCCCGCAGCTGTTTCAGCTAGCTTGTGCCTTTTGCGGGAGGGGCCCCTGGCCCCTAATGTCATCGTGAAAGGGGTGGGGAGGTTCCCACCCCGCGAGCTTCTTGCTGCTCGCCGCGGCCGAGCTGGGAGCCCTGCCTCCGGGAGGGCGCACGGCTCCCGTGGCTGGAGCGGCCATTGGGGCTGCCGTTGGGATGGTGGGGACCGTGGACTTCGCCCCCGCCGACGACCCCGCCCCAGAGCAGGTAGAGGAGGATGTCTGCATGGAGCCTGAGGGCTACATCGCGCCTCCCCTTGCTGGGCACATCCCCGCGGCCTCGCCCGTGGAAGACTTTCCTCCCGCGCCTTCCTCGTCGGAGTCCCCGGCTGGAGGAGGGGGGGGGGGGCAATCGGACGGAGGGGGGTGCTTCAGATGATCATTCCTGGAGTATCCAGCGGACCCTCTGCCAGCTGAACGCGCATCTTTCAGCCTGGGCGCCCCGCCGAGCCCCGGAGGCCTACGGCCGGCGCCGGCATCCTCGGGCACCTGGTGAACCCCCTGGAGAAGATCCGTTCCCGGGATGGCCGAACCACCTCCTGGACGGCCTCTTGCAAGGAGGGGCCTGGTTCGGGCAGATGATGTTCGGGAGCGCCCGCTGGAAGGGGTCCCCCCATTGGCTCCAGTACCTCCTGGTCTTCTTCTACCTCCTCTCCGCCCTGGTGGCCTTGGACCTCCTCATCCTCCTGGCCTATGCCCTGGCCCTACTCTCACGGGGCAAGGGCCCTCTGCGCAGGAACGAACACCCGCACCCCTTGAAGGACTCGAGGCTGGTGTGGGGAGGGCCCGCCTCGGGCGGGACCACGCCCAACAAGTTCTTTCAGGACTGGATCCGGGCCCGCGGGAGGCACTCCAGCCGCCGCCCGCATGAGCTGCTTGCCATCATTGAGGAGGGAATGGTTCGGATGCAGCGGAAACCGGGCTCCACGCTGCCCGCGACGCGGAAGGGAGGGCAGGTGTACCTCTACGGTGCCGTGCTGCACTGTGCGGATCCCTCCCTCCGTCAGCGGCTGGAGAACGCTCGGGAGCGCGCCATCTACCTGGCGCGGGAGTGGGAAGCGGAGATCCCCCCAGACATTGTGGCGGTCAGCTACCACTACACCGGCGTGGAGGAGGGGCTCGTCCTGAACCTGGAGGAGGCTCTGCCCTATCAAGGCTTCCTCCTGGGCCTCGCCTGCCTCCTCGGCCGCGCCCTCGGGGGCGCCCACCGACTCCTCTGCTTCATGTCCCGAGCCATCGGGATAGACCTGCTGAGGGCGTGGTGCTGTCGCGAGAGGAGAACGGCAGCCGGAGCGGGGAGGCCCCGGGATTGCCAGCTCGAGTCGGAGAGCGAGGGGCCCACCATCGGGACGTGTGGTGGGGACCGCTTGGGCTGGAAGCACCCTGGGCACCCTCGGCCTCCGCGCCCCGTGCCCGGAGCCCCCGGACGAAGTGTCCACCCTCCTCCTGGTCGAGGACGAACCCCAGTCGGACATCACTGGATGGGAGCTGCTGAGCGGGCGCGTTTGGGCCCCCCTATGCGCCCGGCATAAGCGCATGTACCGGCTTGCCCGCCAGCACCTCCTCTGCGCCTTCGCGGGCCCCCTCCCGTGCGACGAGATCGGGACCCTGCAGGTGGATGGGAGGCTCTTCTGCGCCTTCCATGCGGCGCAGTCCGCCGGCCCCCCCCCAGGGGCGGCCGGGAGAGGGACTGCCGGCCTCCTCGAAGGACCCCCCTCCGGGCCCTCTATCCCCGCTGCCTCCCATCCTCCACCCGCGCGATGCGGTTGGCCGCTTCTTCCTGGGCCACATTCGCCGCGAGGAGGAAGCCCATCGGGGGTGTGGGAAACACCCTTCGGCCGAGCACTATCTTGTCTTCCGGGGGGAGGGGGAGGAGCCGCCAGCAGGCCACCCCCCGGGTGAGGCAGTGGTCCACCTCGCCGCCCTCGGCCTTCGCTACTCCGTCCCGATCGGTCAGATCCGTCACCCGGGACAGGCCCTCCCTCCCCCCCTCCCTGGAGGGATCCCTGCCTGGTTCGTCGAAGTGATTAATTTAACCAGAATGGAGCGCCCTGACAGAGGAAGGGAAGACCCCCTCCGGAGGGGCAGGCGGGGTCCAGGAGGTGGTCTTGCTGCTGAACTCCCGGGAGCTGGACCGATGGCGCCATCGGAGTGCCCGGCGTATGGACGAGGAGTCCGGCCAAGCCTCGGGTGGGGAAGAGTACCCCCCACGGGGGAGGAACACCCGCCGGGGAAGCTCACCGCGCCCTCCGGCTCGCGAGGGAGGGGCCCCCTCCACAGGCGCCTCCCGCGACCCGTCGGGGGAGCCCTCGGCGGTGGTCTGGCTCCTCGAGGCCCTCCTCTCCGCCATCCAGGACGGCGTTGGAGTGGAGGCCGCACTTGAGGCGGCCCAGGATTACTACGGCGAGGACCCGGACACCTGCCTGGCGTTGGTCACGCCGTGCGCGGAGGAGTTGGAGGCGACCGCCCTCCGCAACCCCGCCTCACTGGAGCGGGAGGAGCAGGCCGCCCTCGGCAAGCTCTTGCGGTACGTCCGCGAGAAGCGCCTGCTCCAGAAGGGGCAGGAGGGGCCTACCCCAGCAGGGAGACCCCTCCCGCCCTCACCGGCGCAGGCCCTCCAACCTCCGGGCGTCATGGAGGGGATCTTCACCAGCCTCCCCGAGGGGGAATGCCGCGACACGCGCCCCGCGCCGTCCGGTGGCCCGAACCCCCTCCCGCCCGCTGCGCAGTGGGATGCCATTCACGGGATCGCCCCACCGAGGGGCACCACAGGACGCGCCGGGGCAGGGGGGGAAGGGCAGGCGGGGATTCTCACTGACCCGAACACCCGCCTCTTGGTTCAGCACCTCAACCTCTCCCAGCGCATGGAGGCCGACGACTCCAAGAACGTGGAGGGCTCCCTGGGCTACCTCGAGAAGACGGAGTGCCGGCTGGCGGTCTACACCGCCCAGGGGTTCAACGCCTTCTACGTCGCCCTTTGCCCGGGCCTCGTCGGAAGGGAGCTGTGCGACGCAGCCCGGAGGGGAGGAGACGGGCGCTGGGTGATCATGCGCGAGGGAGGCTGCCCCATCCTGGTCGTGAACCGGATTGCCTACGCCATCGCGGGGGGCTTCTGGGGGGCCGCGACCTGGAACGGATGGCCAAGTGGTCCCTGGGAGCATCGGACTTCCCGCGGACCACTCGGGAGGAGTTCGAACGGTTCATCCCGCACTCGGACCCCGCCCACATGGAGAAGCGTCCCGCCTGGACCAAGATCCTCGCCGTCTGGACCGACCAGGCCCACCGGGGCATCACCACCTTCTGCCTGTTCTACGGCCAAGACCACGAGAGGGAGAGGCGGGACGCCTTAAGGAGGCTGGTGCAGCTCAACCTCGATGACCCCAACCAGTGGACGGAGGGGGACCTCTTCGCGATCTGGGAGGAGCTCCACTGGGACTGGTGGGACGGCATCCGACTGATCGTCCAGCGGGCCCTCCGCGACCTCAGAAACCATAACCCACCGAGGAGGAGTGAATTCAGGCTCCACCTCCTGGAGGGGCCGGGAGGCCAGCCGCGATTCCAGATGCCCTTCTCCTTCCAGCTGGACCACCCCAACGGGTTCTTTCGGGCCCGGGTGGTGTCCCGTAAGTTTTGGGAGCAACGGTCCGCCCTGTCTGCCCTCTCGCGGACGAGCAGAGCGAAGGTGCCACCCCCGCCCCCGGCGGGACGCGCCGGCCAGGACGACAACCGGCAGTGCCCCATCGGCGCGGCCCTGGAGGCGGAGGAGCATAAGGCGGCCCTGGCGGGTATCCCTAAGAACCCGCAGGGCAAGAGGATTTGCATCCCCTTCAACTGCCACAGCACGTGCTGGCGGGGGAGCGGCTGCCGGGACGCCCACCAGAAGATCAACGATCTGAAGGGCCTCCCCATGGAGACCAGGTTGCTCTTCTTCCGCTTCGGAGGGTTCCACAAGCTCCCCCTCGTGACGCCCGCGGCGGTGGATGCCCGCATGGCTGCGCTCCGGAGGGGATCGAAGCCCCGCCCGAGGACCCGCGGCGGGCAGAACGCCAACCGGGGCACGGAGACACCCCCGGGGGACCCCCCCACCACGGGGAGGGGGGAGCCCAAGCAGAGCGCCACACAGGCGCCCGCCCCGGGGGTGCTGGCGTGCATCACCTGCCCGCGCCGCACGGCTTGGGGCACGCTCGACTTCGGCCAGCACCTCCACCCCACGGGGCCCTATGCCGATCGCATGCGGGAGAAGCTGGGGCTGCAGGAAGGCGAACCGGAGGGAGGGCAGTGCATGCTCCTGAGCACCGCCGCCTCCTCGCTGTGGCGGCAGCACGGCACCCCCCCTCATCAGGAGGAAGTGCACGCCCTGGCCACCCGCTACCGGGCGGGCGGCCGGCGATGCGCCGCCGGCCTCCAGTTCGCCCCTGGACGACGCACTCCGGGCGGGGGCCGCCGTCCCGCACTCGGGAAGAGACTACCGAGAGTTCCCTTTACTGGGAGGCCCCGCCCTCACCAGTGTCGACCTCCACGTGTGCGCGCTCCAGGACTCCTACCTCCGCGAGACGCGGATTCCCAGCCGCGCGGGCGGCGACCCCCCCGACGCCTGGCTGTTCCTCAACCAGGGGCACGCCCTCGCACTGGGGCCCACGCCGGAGGCCTTCACCTGGATCCGCTACCGGGACGTGTGGCCCCGCCCGCGCCAAGCGGAGGCGCCCCCGGCCCCAGATGCCGTCGGCGAGATTCCCCACCCACCCAAACCCGCAGGGGGGGGGTAAAGGGCCTTCGGGCCCTCAACTCCAGAGGGAGGAAGGCGGCATCGGCGGGGCATCGCCCGGAGCCGCCACGGACGCCCCAAGCGGCGAGACCTGGGGGAAGGGACCAGACCCGCCACCGCGGAGGGAGACCGAGGGGAGGGGGCCCCCGGCGCACCTGGACGCGTTCAACCGAGCCACACAGGCGCTGGAGGAGGCACGGGGCCAGGACATGCTGGACCTCTTGGGGAAGGACGAGAAGCACGGCGCCCGGATCCGCACCCAATGGCACCGCTACGCCCGGAGCGTCGGAGCGGGGTGGGAGGAGGCGGAGTGGGGGAACAGGCGGAAGTACCCCCAGCGGTTGGTCGACACGTTCCTGAGTGAGATGAAGAAGGGCACGGTCTACCCTCCGCCGGACTCCACCTTCGAGAATGGAGGGAGAACGACCAAAGGGGCCCCCATTTTCGGAGAGAGGCCGAAGGGAGAGAAGGGGGGGGCCAAGTGTGAGGAGGAAGAAGAGAGGTCCCCACAGGGCGGAACGTCGGAGGGCGAGCGCGGAAAGGCCGCCAGTGGCCGGAGCAGGCAGGCCGGGGATGGGAAACCAGCCGCCGAGAGCCTTGCCCCGCGCCCCCCCACGGAGCGCCGGAGAGGCAGGGGAAGTGAGGACACCGCCGGGGCTCGCAGAGGGGAAAGCGCGAGCGGCGGGAGGGGAGGGAGCAGGGCCCCCCGGGACAGCCGCCCGAGCCGGAGGGACGCTGGGGCCTCCGAGCCCCCACGGCGGATCGAGGGGTCCCGCCGTCGCTCGCCCGTCAGCCCCCGCCGCGACCCGGGCCGAGGAGCGCGCGCCTCACGGGGCCCTCGACCGGGAGAGCACACGCGCCCCCGGAGCGCGGGGCGGCGGGCATACCCAGAGGGACCAGACCGGAGGGGAAGGGTGGAGAGTCGAGCCCCTCGTGAGCGCTCCCCGCGCCGGCGAGGAGGGTCGGGGAGCAAAGCTGGATCCCGCCCGCCGCCGGCACCGGACCGCGCGGGCGTGCGGCGCGTGTCCACCCCCAGGGGCTCCGTCCGGCAGGAAGTCTCGCTGGGCCCCCGCAGGAGGAGCCCCAGCCCCCCGAGGAAGCGGACCGGGGGGGGGGAGCCTGGGCTCCGCACGCGGGGCTCGCCACCCCCTAGGTCCCGCAGCCCAAGAAGGGCCGAGCCTCCCACGGCAGAGCCGCGTGAGCCCCGCCCTCCTGCCCAGCCGGGTGACCTCTGGCTATGCCTCGGCTGCAGGAAGGAGG